TATGAATGAAATCGGTACTGGCCGGGGTCCATCTTCATCTTCATCTTCGTTTGCTGTTTGCTGCTGCACCGGAAATTGAAATTTTAAAAGTTTTGACGTTTGCCCGGCTTTTTCTCTGTTTCGCTTATTTATGCAAGCAAATAAGCACGAAATGCTCATGGAAATAAATGTGAGCAGCAGTCGGACACGAGCCACTCCGGTTACTGAGGGAAGACAAAAATAAAGCTAAAACGAAATTAACAAAATATTAATTGGCTGACTGGCCAATGTCGGTCGGTCGGTGTCTGATGCGTTGATTCCGTCGCATCTCTGTGGCATTTCTCATTTCTGTCTGCAGTTTTTGAAAAATTTGAAAACGTTTTCCGTTTCCGCTTGACGAACGCCTCCTCCTCATTCACCTCCAGTTGGGTTCATTTGCATAGATACAGATTTATAGATTTACTTTTTGAAAGGGAAATTAACAAAATGCTTTAAGGGGGCTTAGGTTTAAAACTAATTGGCTTGGATTTAAAGTTTATATATTTCTTTATATTATATTTAAATAATGTATATGTTGGAAATGGGGATCACCTAAGACTTATAAGTAAATGAATTAATATTTACTATATATTTATTCAATTATAGAGTTATTTCCAAAATTGAGTTGCAAAGTTTATCTGCACGCAGATGCAATTTCCTACCCAATATAAATAAATAAATATAAATATTAAATTCCACGATATAGTGTAAGCTAATTCCAGTTCATTTACGGCAAAGAATGAATCGCTTCTCCGGTCCCCTCCCCTTTAACCCATGATATCCCACCCACACGGCTGCTAGACAAAAAAGCAAAACAAAAACAAAGAGGCCTGGGAGAGCGAAGAAAAAAACGCTCCCACTCGATGACTGGCAAACGATTTGGACGCCCACGAGTGCCAGAATCTACAGTACAGTGGAGACTCTATAAATGGATTCTACCAAAAATATTAGATCTTTATATTTTTAGAGGAAGGTTTTTGTACCTTCTCACTTATCACTGGAAACACCTTAATTTGGCATTGAATTTCTTGGAAAATATCATACATATCCATCTTATGAATTAGAAATAATTCTTTCAAATTTATATACATTTTTTTTAATTTTATGTTTATTTAATTTTTAATGAATTTTTTCATAAAAGGGTTGTATTATTTTAAATGTAGCTGCATTCACCGTAGGCTCACAAAAATGCAACTCATTCATGGCAGTGCACCCGATGACTCTGACGATCCATTCATACTCATTGCCCCAACTCATTGGGGACGCAATGCGATATCCAAATCCCGAAACCCAATGTACCATGATCTTATGGGAGCAGTCGATCCGCAAAACTGAGTCACTGGCAACTGGCTACCCGATTGATGGGATAGGATAGGAACACTAAGGAAATACTCTTGCTTGATATTAATTACATAGAAAATTTATATACTTAAAATTTATATTTATAAATATTTAAAAGCTAAATACTGAGTCAGAATCAAGCTCTAGCTTTTAACGCCCAGAAGAGTTCTGTTATCTCCAGACACATCTGTCCATGTTTATCCTATGCTATCCTAGTGTTCAGAAAGATAACTCCTTTTTATAGCCATACCTGGTATTCCGTTCTTAAAATAATATAATGTTATGTTATGTTATGTTGTCGGTAAATAACTTTCTCTATCTCTATCTCTTTCTCTTGCTCTGTTGTCTCTCTGTATATCTCTATACATTAGTCTTTCTCTATTTCTTTCTCTCTCTCTTTCTCTCTGTCAATTTCGATATGTCTATCTCTCTCTGTGTTTCTCTAGAGATAGCTCTTTTTCTATACCCCTCTCTAGAGATAGCTCATTCTCTCTCCATTGCAGGGTATTATTATTTTATTCAGAAGCATGAAACGCAGTGGAGGAGTCATATCCGGCCCCATAAATCATATATATTCTTAATCAGCATAAAAATTGGAGTCGTTCTAGATACCTCAAGTACATTTTTTTTTTTTAATTTTTTCATTATTTTTTAAGGGGTTACAACTTTAAAATGTTTAAAAATTGATGAAAATGTTGAATTCTTTTTTATTTAAAATTAAGTATGCAGATTGCTTAACCTGATAAAAACTAACATAGGAAAGCTTTCCGAATTGAAATTAATGCCTTTTTGAGTTAGTTATGGTATTTGAATCTTTGATTAACCAAAAAAAATTAGCATAAAAAAATATCGATTTAATATACCTAGAATACACATATTTTGATATTTCTTATAGAAATACGAATGCAAAAAATCCAACTAGTGCATTTTTGAATGGTTTATAAGGGATTTTTATTAAAATTATCAAAAAATGTTTATTAAATATAAATGTTTTCAAATTCAAAGCCCAATAAGCTATTATCTACCAATATCCAATTATCTACCAATAAGCTATTTGCTACCAATGTGAAATCAATGCATCTTGAACCCACCTATGATCGATTTCACAACCGATCCCATGATCCAATGGATAACTGCAAGGATATATACATTTCGGCTTTTCAAAGTTGGCTTCCTTTCTTGTTGGACATAGTTTTAGCTTCATGGCTGTAAGTAAGGGGAGAGGGACAGGGCAGGGGACAGCGACTCCTCTGCACCCGCGCGGCGACAAAGATAAACAAAATGGCGCCCAAGCTGGGCCATTGGCTAAGTTATGGCCATTTCGGGGAAAGAGAGAGACAGTGGAATAGGGGGGGCGGACAGGAAAAAGGCAGAACGCGAATGCAAATGCAGTTGGCGGGGGGGGCGGAGGAGGATTCCCCCTTTGGTGCGTCTGCAGCTGACATGATATACGCTTTGATGTCTCGTTTTTTTGATAAAGTACTCAATCTATAAACGCCAAGAGCAAAAAACCGAGAGCCGACGACTCGATGTACCCGGACCGGGGTCAATGCAAAAATATGATATGGAATTGCCTGGCATGGCCCTGGATTGGGATTGGGATTGGGATTGCTATTGGGACTGGGATTGGGATTGGTCCACTAAAAAAGAGACAGCGCGGCCGGGCATAAAGCCGCAAGAGCAACACAAGAAAAAAAGTACAGAAAAAGTGCTGAAAAAAATGAAAACAAGAGCGGAACCGAAATCAAAATCAGAAAAACAAGGCGCAAAAAATAAGAGAACAGAAAAAAATGGCGTGCCAGCAAGGCTTTAAAGGTAAACACTCCAAGCCCATGGATACTGGGACACTGGACACTGAACGCTGGACACTGGACATTGAGCATTGGCCACGGCTTTTGGCTAATTCGCGCTGCTCCACACTCAGCAAAAACCAAGAAAAAGGAGAGATAGATGAGAAACCGAAGCTTGTATACCCTAATAACTTTTCATTCCTTCTGGGGATGACAGGAAATATCCATATATGTATCAATATTAATATTCGACCAGAATATATATACATTTATATCCATACTTAAACGTTGTGATATGTGATATGTCATTAATGGGTATTTCTTTTTGTTGATATATCGAAATAATATAATTGAAAAATTAAATTTAATATATATTTTCGTTCAATATTTATAAATATTTATAAAAATCAAAGGTCTTACTAAAAGCTATATACTTAATAAAAGTAAATAACTATTAAAAAAAAAAGCTTTTTTCTAAGTCTATAATTGTGATTTAATTATGAATTAATAATTAAATACGTAACCAAATTAACAACATTATTTTCAAAATATTTCTTCGAAAATTTATTACCAATTAAAAACAGGAAAACTGAACGAAAGTATTAATTCTTCGAAAGTAATGTATTTAAATGTATATATTATAAATTGTACTAAAAAACTAAAAGAGAAATAATAAGTTCTTATTTTTTACTATAGAAACAAAAACTTTAAAAATGATTTAAAAATTTCAACAGCTTTAACAAAGAAGAAACTGAGAGCTGCTAAAGCATTAAGTGAATTTTAAAGCATTCTAAAATCAAATAAATCAATCAAAAATATATACACATTAAGAAATAATATTAAATATATCTAAAGTTCAATTTACCTCTACGCTGGCAAGGATCAGGCATTATCCATTTTATTAAAGGGTAGCAAAGAGCTGAAATGTCATTCATAAATCATACGCAACGATGTTGCCGTTGCCATTGCTCTACGCTCCTTTGCGTTTTTTAACAATTTTTTCTTGCCATTTTTCCCTGCGCTTTTTACAGTCGCTTCCCCCTCACCACCCGCCGCCCCCTCTGCCTTTTGCCGCGTCCCGTCCCCGTTGAAGTTGGTCTTGGAGAGTGAGTGCTGTGCGCTTTAAATCGATTCGCAAGCAAATTAAAACATTTCAAGATTTATACGCACAACTGTCAAAAATGTTCAAGTTCGTTTATCAGCGTGTCCTTATCGCCCCCCGGGCGCAGTCCTTAATATTCCTTAAATTTGCATTTTGCATTTGCGAAAGGCAACTTCCGGCATTCGCTTGGAGCCCCGGTTGAAGGCACACAAACATATACTACACACAAATGTCTGTCTGTCCAGTTTGCATTTCAAATGTTCTAGTATTACGTTCGGCGGTACTCGGAAAAATTTCTTCATTTCTTATATATTTTATACCCCTTTTTTTTGTGATGATTAAAACCATTCATTCTTTAATCGTAGTATTAAACGGGTGTAAAATATTTATAATTTGTCTTAATTTTCGAAAGTGTTAATTATCTAAAATGTTGAAAAAAGTGATTTATTATTTATCTTTCAAACGCACATGACTATTTTTTTCTTTTACTGATTCTGATTAAGAATTTATATGAATTATATAGCGAAAATTGTTCATTAAATGCATTAAAAACTTCTTACTTAAGGTTTAAGTAATATAATATATATAATAATCTATATAAATATTTCTTTAAATCCCGATTTGTATATATTTTAAACTTATTTCCACACCACCTTCTAGTGAGGTAAAGTTCAAGGCGCGTTTTTTTTTACGTGGTATCCCCCGTAGGCCTAATCCACGGTGGCACTACTTATGAGGAATGAATGAGCTTACAGTGCCTTCTTACCGCTAGAAATAAAAAATATAAATAATTATTAAAATAAGTCCAGCAGTGGGATAACAATATATATATATATATAATCCTTACTCTTCCGTGTCCGAAGTTAAATCTATGTAAGCCAACGGAACCCGCGAGTCCGAAACAAGTTCCACATCAGAGGAATCATCAGAATCACTTGAATCGCTGTCGTCTTTGGGCGCTGAAGCTTTAATTCATTTATATATTATTATATAATATAATATTTATATATATTTATATATGTATATACCATTTTTTATATATGCTACACTGAAGAAATTATGGTCTAAAATCATCATCATAAAAACATATCAACTAAATGTAAATGCAGGAATTTATATCTGAATTCCTAAATTTTGAGTGAAAGAAGTATTATTTTCTGAATTATTAGGAACCATCAGAGGTCCTAAAACAAAAAAAATTAATGGTTTTTTTTTCCATTTTGTCATAAGTATGTATTTGCTAACTTATGGTTTATTTTATTAGTGTCTATGGGAGTATAAGTAAAATGTTCCCAAATATCGAATATATGTCGGAGCGGGCAGGATCGGACGACTATATCATATAGCTGCCATAGGAATGATTGGAAAATATATCAAATAACCACATTTTCAGTTTTCAACAGAATTTGATTAAATTTGAGATTTAGCCTTTTTATATTATTTTACAATTTTGTGTAAAATTTTATAAAAATCGGACTACTATATCATATTGGTGCCATACAAACGATCGTTAAATATAGAGGAAAAATGCAAATCTGTGAATGTTAAACTGTAAATAGGTGAATGAAATGAAAGCAGGTAGTATTGTTTTTAACATAATTATATATAATTTATATTGTATGGATTCCTAGTCATCGAAGTTCTATCTGCAAGGGTATATAAACTTCGGCGTGCCGAAGGTAGCTTCCTTTCTTTTTAGTAATTGTCTTACCGTGCATTGGTTTGCGGGCCGGCTTGGGCTCTGAGGCTTTCTTTGGCTCTGCGTCTTTCTTTGGCTCTGAAGCTTTATTTGGCTCTGGAGCTGGCTTTGTCTCTGCGGCTTTCTTTGGTTCTGCGGCTTGCTTTGTCTCTGGGGCCGGCTTAGAAAACGGAATCAGTTTAGGGATCTTCACTGAAGAGGATTTCGGGGAGGGCTCATGCTCATCGCTGGAGTCGGACTCCAGAACGGATTCGATCTCCATCTTGGCCTCCTCTATGGGAGAATAAGTAAAATATTATCAAATATCGAATGGAAACATCGTTATAGAAGAAAGTCAATGGAAAATTGTGAAAATGATATTTTTAAATCTGAGTTATTTAGAGAACTTTGTATGAGACGAATAATATGGGAAATTCTGAAGATATAATTAAGCTAAACGTTTTAATTAAATGTATCCTGTGCTGAAACAATTACATCTTCAAAGGCCGAGTAGCATGAAAGGAACTTAAAAGACTCACTTAAATTAGTTTTTGTTTAAACTATTCCGTTTCTTTTAAGATAAAGAAAATCTTTGTACATACAAAATTTTAATCTAAAGCTCTTAGAAATGCTGCGTTTAAATTAGTTTCATTTTCTGACATTTTTTATATTGTTAATTTTTGCACATACTGTGCTGTGAGACACTGAATTTATGAATATATCAACAGTTTTTAGTAATTGTCTTACCGTGCATTGGTTCGCGGTCCGGCTTTGGCTCTGGAGCTGGCTTTATCTCTACGGCTTTCTTTGCCTCTGAGGCTGGCTCTGGAGCAGGCTTTGTCTCTGCGGCTTTCTTTGCCTCTGGGGCTGGCTCTGACCCTGGGGCTGGCTCTGTCTCTGCGGCCCGCTTAGACAACCGAGTCAGCATCGGCCATTTTCTCGATTTTGGCTCCGGCTTCGGGACTCTCATTGAAAAGGATTTCGGGGGGGCTCATCCTCATCGCTGGAGTCGAACTCAAGATCGGATTCGATCTCCATATTGGGCTCAAGGTCCGGTAACGTCTTGGGCTCCTGTTTCGGAATGCGCAAACTTCCGCCTCTATGCTTAAAAATCTAGAAAACAAAAGAAATATATATAAATATAAATATTTCAAATTATTTCATATGTTATATTTCAAAATTTAGTATATATCGTTTTTATATTTTACGATCTTTTATTCCGTTATTCAATGGTTTGTAACTTGACTGCTGTACTAAATGCCTGTTTGCCAACTGAACGAAAGGTACTAAACAACTAAATGGTTTTGGTATTGGCTGACTTAACGAACAGTTGAAAATGGTGAGTGCCTTTGCTCGGGCATATAGTTTTATTTATTCTTCTTAATTTGCTTTAAAATATGCTTTTAAATATGAAAAGGAGGAAAGCTTGCAAATATTAAACTTAAACCGGTTTCTACACACATTTGTTCCCCCTCCTTTTCTCGCCTGGTGTTTTTGTTATTGTTTTTAGAGTTTGTTAGTTGATGCGCGCCGCTCAAAGAAGTTGGTTGTTGATTTACAACCTTAACACTCAACAAATCAGCAAATCAACCTTCAATATTTAGAATTCTTCTTCTGTTTTTTTTTTGCATTTTTTTCTGTTGCGAAAACTAAATTTCAAACAATAACAAAAGTGTTAAAAAAACAAACAACAAAAAATAAAAATAAAACAAAGACCGAACGAATCTGCTAAGATTTTCCAAAATATAAACATAAAAAAAGAAAGATATATCTTCAGGTGAGTTAACGGCAAATTAAACACAACTCTTTGATTTTTAGCTTTTGTTGGTAAAAAGAACGGTATTTAAATGTTATTTATTCATGTTGAAGACCACACGTGAGGCAGTTTTCTTTCTTTGAGTGTAGCTCCTAGAGTCTGCTGTGTGTGTGTGGGTCACCCTTGAGATGAAAGTGCAGCTGTGGGGTCAGTGGGCCGCATGGAAGGTCAACATGTGCACGGGGCAAATTATGGGAAGCAACAGGTGAATAAATTAGGCCAAATAAGCTTACAAAAAAAGTGTAGTAAAAAAAATAATTAGAACATAGAAAATAGGGAAAATTAAAAAGGTGAAAATTTGTACAACTTTTAAGAATTATAGGAAAAATTAAAAAGGTAAAAATTTGTAAAAACTTTCAAGAATTATAAAGATTTTTTAAATATTTTGTTTTATGTAATTTTTATATATTTAATAAAATAACTTTTTTGACATGTAAGATTTAATATTATTTAATATGCTAAAGGCATATGCGCCAGTCAAAATTATTAACAATATATAAATCACTGAAAATAGCTTAATATTAACATGATTTAATTTTCTTAATCTTCATTTTCTTAATCTTCTTTATAAATTCAACTGAAAACCTTAGCAACTGCTAGGACAATTTTTTTTTATATCTATTATATTATATATATATATTTATATTATATTATATTATTATACATTTTATATATATTAAATATATTATATATATATTATATAATTATTATATTTTTAAGTACCAATACCTTAAGGTTACTAAGAACTTTGGTAAGCAGTCAAAATTGCATTGCATAAACTTGGCCATAATTAGGAAGAGAATCGAATGGGTGAGAATCGCATAGAAAGGCTTACTGAGAATCGCTTAGAAAGGCTGATTATGCTGGGCTTGGCCTGAATTTGGGACTAACTGTTTGCGGAACATCTCCCCATGAAGATGAAGAAACGAAATGGGCAAAATGATGAACGGAAGATGTTGGGAAAGAGACTCATCATCATCGGCATCGTCATCTTCGTCTTCATCAAGCGAACATTAGGCTTGGTCTATTAAACGTGTGTGCTCGCTCACTGGCCAAGAACATGTGATGTGAGCTGGGGGTAATTAAAGAGACAACATCTGCAGAATGCTGCCGCAAATCTTTTATTTATGACTTGACCATTCACCCAGGCTTTGGCTCTGGCTCAGACTAAGGCTGGGATTTAGCCACAGCTGCAGTGCAGAGGCCTGGCCAAAAGTGATATTGCAGTGGCTTCTGATGCTGATGCTGCTGCTGCTGCTGCTGCTGCTTCTGCTGATGGCCAAGAAATTCATAAACAACAGCTTAAATCAAGTTTGCCAACGGCAGCAGAAGGAGATTCCCGTAGTAGTCGGAGCATCCACAGTTGATGTAGGCACAATCAAGATGTTGGCTAGGAAAATTCTTGGTTGCGTTGCGGCTTTGCCATCGTCTTTGACTTCGAGTTGAAGTTGAAGTTGGGCTCTGAACCACCACAGCTTGGCTGTTTTTTACAGGTAGTAATTGGGGTAATATGTTTAGGCCTGAAACTTATTTCTTATATATTAAAAATATTATATAAATATTTGTACATGTATATTTGTTAAGATTTACTATTAATTATCCAGTAATTTCTAGTAATAATGATTAAAGTTCCCTCTAGGGTATCAATATTCGTTGCAAAACTTTTGGCAACTGCCATTTCTTGTTTTGTTTTCGTTTTCGTTATTTATTTTTATCTGCATTTTTCTTTTGGCCGCAACGAAACGAGTTTTCCAACATTTTAAGTTTAAAGTTTTTCCAACTCTCTGGCTGCTCCCTCCACCATTTCGGAATTCATCTTTGCGCTTCGCTGCAAATTGCAGTGTATATATATATAGATATACATGTATATGGTAGCGATTTTTGTGGCAGTGTTCCCCCCCCCCCTGCATATGCATTTCCATTATTATTATTATGGCATTTTTCATAGGTGGAGAGGATGTCAGGTAAATCATTCGGCCAACTGACTCTGGTCTCCGATCTCTTAAGTCGTGCAGATGCAAATGCAAAATTACTGGAAAACTGCTCTCTAGCTGAGTTAGAGGGAAAACTCAAAGTCAAATTCAAAGTTAAATTCAAATTCAAATCGAATTATCCACTCAACAGCACTCATGAGACTTTGATAAACGATTGACTTGACTTTCAAAAGGGCAGATTTATGACCTGAATTGCCTCCTCAGGCAGCTTTAGCTCTTCCACTTAATGCAATTATACAATTATTTGAACCTTTGGAAAACGGTGATCATTTAACCATGAATATTGTCTGGAATTTCGTCTATTTTGTAAAGATTTTTAAATAAATATTTAGGTTTGTGCAACAATTCATAATTCACAACAATTCACGAATAGTAATAAATGATAACTTAATAGTTTAACTAGTTTTTCTATAAATATGAATAAAACTCCTTGGTTTTATTTACCTATGGGTTTTCTTTGTCTATAACTTGTTCCTAAAATCCATTGTTTTTCTTAGGCATTTACATAGTTATTTATCAGCTTTAACATTGAAATATGATCAACAAAAATTCAATGGAATGGCTTTATTACTATATTTTCTGGTATATCTTTAAACATCGTTTTTTTTTCTGTCAACCAGCTTCATTGTTATTTATTTATCTTTTCTTCAGTTTGTTTTCATTTTTAGGTTTGAATTATTGTTATTTAAAAATTAGCCTTGCCCACATGACTCACTTTGGATAATAATAGTTTTAATAAATATACAAAGCTTTAACTAAATTAAAGTTGAATTAAAAATTAAATACATTTCAAGGCTTAAAATAAAACTCATATTTGGGATAACAAATTCCACAGAAATATTATTTATGTCATAATAAAGATCTTGCATAATTTTAAATATTATAAGTTGAAAATCCGAAAAGGTCGTTTTTAATATTATGTTATAATATTATTAGCGAATGAGTTATATGAAACACTAAATTATTATGCAAATTGAAATATATTAAAAAAAAATTTTAAATATAATTTGTCATAAATATGAATACTGTATAATTATATTTATATATTTTTTATTAATAAATACTATTTCTAAGCCCCACTGCTCTTAGCCATTATTTGCCTTTGAGCTGATTTTGCTGATTTCATACGCGCCTTTATTAAATCACCTGTTATTTATTATTTTATTTTCTTCTGTTTTTTTTTTGTTTTAACATAATTTTTCTTCCGGACTCTGTTGTGCGTGAGCGTAGGTTTTAAAGTTATTTTTTTCGATGGCTGTCTTGTCTTGTCTTTGGCGAGATTCTTTTCACTTTTTCCCCTTCGAGAGTGTGAAGTTACAACAATGGCACCACCTGCAGCACACAGGTAACACACAGGTGTGAGTGACAGCTCCCATGGAGCAAAAGAAGCTGAAGCTGAAGCTGGTACAGGTGTACATGTAGATGTAGAGGTGGAGGTGGAAAGGTGGAAAGGTGTGGATCCGACAGAGGCAAATGCATTGTTCGATTTAACTTTCACTGATTGCCCGTTGACAATGCTGATGGCAAGGTGTAGGTCGCTGTATACACCTGAATGTGAGCATATATCTCAACAGATACTCTCTACACACACACATATAGATACATATATCTCGAATCCAAATATATATATATATATATCTTTTGGCATACAAATGATTAGCAAGTACTGCAAAAATTCCATTTACTTTCTATATGGAAATCTACTTTGTGTGCACACACTTGGAACAATTTCTTTTTGCCTCTTTAAATATGATAGAAATTAAAATCAAAATCTTGAGAGCTTAGAAAGTTTACACCCAGATAGTGGAAGATATATACATATATTCTGTCGGGGCGACAACTAATTTGTGAAATTATTTTTTATGGCGTGCGGAAGTTTTTTTTTTTTGGCGGCCTCAATTTCAGCTTGTTTCTTCTTGTTGTTTAGATAATTAAATGATTGTATTTTATCTTCTTTTTGTTGTTGTTATTATTGTTGTTGGGTTTTTTGTTTTTAGTTTTTTTTCTTTTAATTTTGATGGACGGATTAAAAGCGTAGGGCCAAGGCAGTGAGTGAATGGAAACGAGATAAACAGCGGGAATGGGGCTTTATAGGTTTTTTGTTTTTATATGGATACATTGAAAAATATACATGAATGTATATATTTGCATTTCAAATGC